TTGAGTTTTGACTTTGATTGAGCTACTTTTTATTAACCCGTTTTGAATAAGCTACTAAAACCAGTTTATTCGAAAAAGTTGAATTATAGGTGGAATGAAAGCACATTTGGGGTTTTAACCGAACATATCTTCTATGCTTTTTTCTGTGTGGGGCCCACTTTGCAAGCCAGAAGCCACTGCATAAAAGCCCTGTTAGATGGGGAAGCCTGAAGCGGAATAGCTTTTAGCTTTCCAAGGTAGTCTTCACATGGACAAATTGGGAGTGGATTATCTGGAGACAATCATTGGGCTGGCCTATTTATTACGAGTGAACACACCGGTGCTCAGAATTATCTGAAGACAAAATCATACACACCGGGCTGGGCTATTTATCACAAGTGAACACGCCAGTGTTTAAGTACTAAGCACTGGTGTGCTCAACCATGATAGGTAGCCCAGCCTGATGTGTACTGGACTTGGACAAATCTATATAAGCTATGTTTAGTGAAAAATCTAGAGCCCATATCAGCTACACTCATTTCAAGAGTTCTCCATGTGAGCCTATATGAATAGCTTATCTGGAGCACTTCATAGTAGCTAATCACTTAACCAGCTTAACTGAATCTTCACCTTATCCCTCCCGAATACCCTACGTGGACAACTCTTCAAAGAACTAATGGCTAGACCTGTTCATGGGCCAGGTAGTCTGATAGCCCAGCCTGACCCGATCTAAGTCGGGTATGGGCAAGATTTCAGGCCTGACTTTTTTCAAGTCGGGCTCGGGCTTTTTCAAAAATGCCTACTCTGAGCCCAAGCCCTAATTGATAATTTATTATATAATAAAAATATATTTTATATAATATAATATTCAAGTCGGGCTCGGGCTTTTTCAAAAATGCCTACTCTGAGCCCAAGCCCTAATTGATAATGTATTATATAATAAAAATATATTTTATATAATATATATATATATATATATATAGTTTTTTCTTTATCATTCTTCTATTTTTTCAAATAATAGTGAAATCTCTCATTATATTTTTAGGTTTTGAAGTCTTTTAATATAAATAAAATATTTTTAATTGAATAAAAAGGAAAAAAACTTTTTTTTTAATTTATAGTCATGCTTGGGCTTGGGCCCGGGCTTCAAACTTTATGTGAGGGCTGGATTCGGGCTCAAGACTTAGGCTCGATGGTTGGGCTGGACTTAAGCTCAGGCATAAACATATTCTGTTAATATAGAGGCAAAACCCAACCCAGCCTATGAACATGTCTACTAACAAACAATTCGATTTTGGGCTCTCTCGATTTTCACCAAACATAGCTTATGAATTATCTGTGTAGGATCCACCTTTGGGAGGGCTGAAACACTTTTTTTTTTTTCATTTTGAAGGTGGGCTCTACACAAACAGCCTATAAATTAGGTTTAGTGAAAAAATCTATATGCTCGAATATCCTGTTGTTCGGTAAAAAAATGACTTTATAGTGAAGCTTCTTTTAGGAGCTTATTCAAAGCGGCTAAAGAAAAGAAGCTTTATCAAGCTTTTTCTGCCCTCCCAATTGCAAGGGTTTTATTTTTCAGATTGTCGTTTACTGGTTCTGGGTTTCGGGAGGCAGGGTCCAGTACTAGGGGTGCTCATGAGTATTTTTTGAGCCGAACCGAATTCATCGGTTTCTTAAAAATTTGAAACGAAACTGATACAACCGATTAACCAGTGGACCGATTCCACACTGTATTTTTTATGCAATTACAATCGGTTTCGGTTGTTTTTTCGATTTTTCTTATTCACCTTGGGTCCACCGAAAAATTCCATAAACAACACTTGGTGATAATTCTAGAGAGCCAGGTTTAACTAATTGTCAATTCATCATACAGCCTTAAGAGGCTCCTTGGAGAAGCCTTTTTCATAGTTTCAGTGAGTTGAAATCAGCCCCCGACAAGATAATTTCCCATAAGGTTCCACAGCTTATTGTATTGGTAACATTTCTCAATTATGTCATCGTTTTTTATATTATCATCAGGAGATGTTTTCAATACATCACGGAGATATACTGTGGAATATTGCGGGGGATTGATTTTAATTCAGTTTCAGTGGCTTATTCAAAGCAATTGAACCAAAATAACCCATGAATCTATTCAACCTAAATGATTTTGGCTGGTTGAGGATGATTCCTGGAAATCATCCCTTTGTAAATATTTTGGATTTTTTCTTTACAAAAATGGTTCTCACACCCATTTTGCAGTAATTCTGGATTTCCTACCCACAAGAATCTTACCCACATGACACTAAAGCTATGAGGAGGGTGGGAGGTGGAAATCTGGATTCAAAGGGTATAAAAAGTTGATTTATATACTTCCTTTTTGTGCGTGCGTGGAAGTTCTATACGCCTCCTTAAGACTCTTAGTATATTTCCTTTTTTGTGCGTTTGCAGTGTTTGGTACTGGAGTCGTTTCTCCAAGGCATTTTACCATGTCAAACACCATGCAAGTGTTTTGCTTTCTCTTTTACCTTTTTTTTTTGTTGTTTGGTTAAGCATTTCCAATCCACTCATTTTAACTTTCAAGCAATAATGAATATCTCAAATTTCATGAGAGAAGCTTTTGGAAAAAAAAACACTATTTTGACATTTTTTATAATGAAAATAATAATTTTACTTTTTTGCATATATGTAGAGTTGTAATTGGATTGGATTTAGCAAATATGAATATGATCTGATTATTGAAAACTTGCATCTAAATTCAATTCGAAATTCGATTGGATTTGAAGACCTTATATTTGAATTCAAATCCTAACGGACTTGGATTGAATTCGGATTTAATTTGAGTGCGCTTTAATTTTTTAAAATACAAAAAAAAAAATTCAACTTTTATATATAATAAACTAATATAAATATAACATACTGAAATTATTATATATAATTATATAAAATTATAATGTAAATTATAATTAGGAATTCAAATCCTAATTGTTTTGTGATTTTAAATATAATTATATGAGATTTATATATTAAAATCAATAAATATTATAATATAGTCATATTTAGATTTTAAGTAGATCGGATGTATCAAATCCAAATTCAATCTTATTAGTTATTAAATCCGATCCAATTACATAAATACATCTTCCTAATCCAAAATAATCGGATAAGATATTAAATCCATCATCAAATTTTCGGATATTATTAAGAGGCCTACTTATATAACACTTAATTGACACCAAATAAGAACATAAAATATATAAAATCCGAAATTATGATATTAAATTCTAAGGCGTGACTGATGACTGGTGTCTTACAAAAGGACAATAATACCAAACATCACCTAGGTTTAGGTTTAATGTAGCAAGTCCGAAATGCAAATGGCCATTGGGCATTGGGCATGGCAAATACCAATATAATAAGAACTCCCGTGAGCATTTAGAAATTTCAGATATGGGCAGGCAGATAGTCAACTGGATGAAGCAATATACCACAGCCGGAAAATGGCAGACTGCACAATGGGGGGTCATCATCAATTTTGGGCCGACATGGTTGGCTCTTTCTTCAACGAGTCGCGTCTCTTGCTCTTTTGGCGTTTCCAAATAGCTACTAGCTGCTAGAGATCCAAATTTTGAACAAAGCCCGGCCCACTTCGGCTATAGTGCTGCTTAGGGTCAGGGATATCTACGTGTCAGGTTCGGCAGGGTTTTGGTCCACCCGAACCAGACCCACTTTTGGTGCAAATGCTAGATTTCTGGCTTATTTTTATTTCAGGCTTAATTTTGGCCTTTGAGCAAACCGTATATGGACTCTTAACTTTGTGATTGCTTCGGGTCTTAATTTATATGACAGATAATGAAGGAATAAAATAGGACCTTTGCAATTACTTTTGTGATGCAAATTCGCACTGCCAATTAGCGCAAATGAAGCAAATGGGTTTTATATCAGCCAGAGATATAAACTGCCTATTTGGGAGGAACTCATCCTCGAAAAATTTCTGCCACCGCAAATGAATTTATGCCATGTCATTCTCGCTCTGGACGCCTGAGAGTGAGAGGATTTGTGTGTTAAGAGTTTGAATGTGAAAAATGGTAGAGAGAAGAGAGGTAGGTGGTTTGGTCTCCCACCGTGTTTTGGGAACCAATACGTCATTAATGTGATATTAAATATTAAAAGAAGAAAAACAGTAAAAATCCCACAATGCAGATAAAAAAACATTGTTAATGATTATAGTATTTTAATACTGTTAATTAACAGTACTAATTAATCATATTTTCAATAATTATAGTATTTTCATAAATACAGTATTTATTAACAGTTAACAGTGTTTTGGTTAATGTAATATTATATCAATTTACGATATAAACCAAACCTCTATTCAAGTGCCCACAAAACCGAACAGGTGGTAACGTTTTACACCACAAACAAACACAGCCTTGGGTTTTGGTTTCATGTGACTTGGGATTTGCTGCACTTGTATAGGCCCATGGGTCGGTCCGGCCTGGACTGGACTGGAGAAAGACGTACCGTGCGAGCGTTGCGTTTAGTGCCTCTCAGAGCATCTGGATTCTCACATCTCTCCCCCTCTCTCTTTCTCTGTAAGGCTGCAACAATGCAAAGGGATTATTAGGTAAAGCAACGGATCGCAGTTTAAGGGTTACATTCCTATTGAACTTTCTATATTCTTAATTAATCAAGCCGGTTCATTCAATTACTGGGCCCCATTCAACACCCCCAAAAAAGAAATAGCGTAAAGACAGGGTTGACGTTGATACCACCGTTAGATTTGCAGACGTCTGAGAAAACGATAACTGAACTCTAGTTTCATTTCATCAACCGAGCCCGAGAGAATCCAATGTCTGTCATGCATGCCCTAGAAAATTCTTCTATTGGGTCCCACTAAATCAATGATATTGATTTTGTTAATACTCTAACTATCGGACACATGTTTTTTGTTTAATTAACCTTTTTTTGAGATTAAACCTAAAAAATCTATATAAAAGAGGAAGAAAAAAACATAGAAAAATCAGAGTTAACACAATTTGAATAAATAACTGCAGTCCGTCCAGAGTGTAGACCAAATTCCGGGCATTTTCTCTCTTTACCTCCCTCCTATCTTTCTCTTTGTGCTCTTTCCTTCCCTCTTTTTTTCTGTCTCCTGTATTTCATTTTTCATTCCCTCTCTTTCTCTCTCGTTTTCCCCCTCAGAAAATAAACGGAAAAGGTATTTTAATATTTATCAAAACCTGGTTATTTTATTTTTATATATTTAAATTTGATGTGATGGTGGGATGGGGCACTGGTTCGCCATGTCAATGAAGTCTGAAAATCCAACCTTGTTGGGTCTCCTCGTTAATTTTCACCCTAAGGACACACTTCTTCTTCTTCTTCTTTAGTTTCTATTCTTTTGTCTCTGTGTTGGTCTCGAATGCAAACCCTCGATCTTTGGATTAATTCCTCCGTAAGCAATTCGAATCCCCTCCTCCCTTCGATCTCTCTCGATGACGTCCGAGGACGCTTCGACGGCGGGCCCCGACGGTGGATCTTCACCCGAAGAGCAGCCTCGGAACAACAACAGCAACAACGCCACCACTGCCACCGTCGCCAACAACAACCATACAGGCCGAAAAGAGCGTCCTTCACGCGCATGTACCGCTCGTTCCTCAGCTAGGCTGTACACCGCTGCCTCCGCCGCAGAGCGCAAGTCGGTTTCAACCAAGAAAGAGAAAGAGGAGCAACTTCAGCAGCAGCAATACAGCAAAATCATTACACCGCTCGTTAACGAGTCTCCGCCTTCGCAATTGCCGCGCTGGACTCTCCGGTCAATGTGGGAGTTAGCCTCTCTTCTCAACTTCTTACATGTGAGCAGTGAAAGTCGTTATCTCTTTTCCTTGTGCATTTCATCGTTTCGCTATGCTTTTGCTGCTCTAGGGCTCATGAATGTTACCTTTTCTCTTTTATAGATTTTTAGGCCGCTTTTGAATATCTCAGCTGAGTTCTCGGCTGAGGAGCTTGAAACTGCTTTGATCACGCCGAATAGTACTCTGGATGATATACATATACCTTTGTTAAAGGTTGGTACTCTGATGCTTAAATTGCAAAGTTCTTATTATTATTATTATTATTTTTTTATATAGAAGAACAAGTCTTGGTGTTTGAATGCTATCTCAGAGCCTCTTTCATAATGAGAGAGTGAAGTTCATGCATCAGGGTGGTGGTTCTTACTTTCTTTTATGTGTTATGATTATTCATTTTAGGTCTTTGGCAAGTTCTTGCTTCTTCAAATTCCAGTGCATTCTTAGTTCATGTCACCGGTCGATGAGAGTTCTTGAGAAATGTTAACATTATGGTTGTGATCCCAACTTTGAGATTTTCTAGGATGCCTGGAGGACATTTATTAAAACTTTGGCATATTTGTCATCCTTAATGCCGACCCCATATAGTTGGGATAAGGCTTGGATGATGATGAGTTGTCATCCTTAAAGTTTTTTATTTCATTCAGGCATTTGTTGATTTAAATTCATATCTGAGATGTAATTTTGTGGCATCAGTATAACCCATAAATCAAACATTCTAAATATTAATTTTTCTAGCTTTAGGTTTTTGATATATTTTCTGGATGGTATTTTATAAGCAAGAAGTGCAACTAAAGTGCAACAACGCAAACTGAGGTGTCAATGAAGAAAATGAGGTGATATTTTTGGAAAAGAAAACAAAAGAACAAAATATTATATAAGGACATGCAAATTTAGTTTTATTACACCTAGAACCTGAGGAGCAAGGCACAAGGTGGGGGCCATGGGGCATGTGGATGAACGAAGTGAGACACTTTGGAAAAGAAAACAAAAGAAAAATGTATATTTCAAGAATATGCAAATCTAAATTTTGAAAGAAATAAAATAGTTCCAAAATTTTATAAGCTCAATTGGTTAGAATATCATCTTATTAACATGAAAATTGTAGCCTCATACTTTCAAGTCTTAAATAGGCTAAACTGTTTAAACTCTGCACATCACAGGAACACTTTACAATATAGTAAGTCATGTATTCAACATCAAAATCAAGGTCAACTCATCAAAAGTTAGTAACAAGTCAGGCGAAGTGTACTTAGGTGGTTAGGTTCAGCCGTTCATCTGAGGCACACCCCACAAAACGAGTCGCACCTGCAAGCCTAAGAATGCCTAAGGCATACATCTTAAAATACTGTACTTGGATGCTTAGTTTTGAAAGTAAGGAGGTTGAAGATATTCAAAGGTGACTGGAGAACGGGAATGGATGCATCTTCTTAATCTCTTGAAATATTAAAAGAATAACAACCCATGAATCTCTCATGATAGAGTTTGTGCATCAATGTTAAATAAATGTGTTGATAGAAAAAAAAAGTTAAACAGACCAGAATAAATATCGGCAATTTCTTCACAGGTCACAAGGTTGACATTAATATTACCCATTCAAGAGGTTCTAAGCAGTCATGATGAAAATAATAATAAATGAAATAAATATAATCCGTTGAAAATAATTCTACCTAGAACATAAAGTCAAATAGACAAATAATTCTTTGTTATGTGATGTGTTGCCAGTTTACCTATCATGATTCAGTGGTTATCATATCAAAATTCACAGGGAAAGCTTTTAATACAACATTTTAAGATATGCAACAGATTATGGTTTCATTCAATGTTATCGATCCAAATATTTGACAGTATGATATGGATAAAATTCAGAGGGTTTCCATGAATGGAAGCTTTTATTGCTTAGACTTTTTTAGGCAATAATCTAAAAACTTATTAAATTGAATTTATCGTTTTAAAAGTTATCCAATTGAATTCACTCCATGCCTTTCTTCATTGATTTCAGGAATAGGGGAAATTTACATAGGGATGATGTTCCAAGATTAGATGATTTACTTCATCACTTAAAAAATTTCCAAGTGTATTATGACTTTGAACCTTAGAAAGTGTGTGCTTGATGAATTGCTACAATGCTGTATAAGTTTTCTAGAATTTTTTTTGATGGATAAGTTTTCTAGGTTTTTTCATTGATACAGGGCATCTAAAACCAGATATGGATGGTGAATTTATATAACTGGGTTCTAAGTGTTTGTTTATTGACACTCAAAGAAATGTAGTTACTGATGTTTTTAGTTTTTTGGGTTAATTTAATTGTTGAAGACTTAGGCTGTAATGATAATTACCTGGCTTCAAGTCACAATGTTGGTGTTATAATGATTGAATGCATATGAAATAGGAATTATGTGGAGAAAAAGTGAAGATATAGCCATATGGAAAGTATAAGGAAATGGGATAAGTGGTCAAGAAATAGGTATCAGGCAAGTGAATTCAGGGAGAAAAAGAATTTGGACTGTTCTGCTTTCTTGGATTTCAGCTGAAAATCCCTAATTTTGAAACTGGATGGATGCAAATTCTGTTCCGGAGATAAACAGTATCATGTGCCTCCATGTCCTTGAGGCAGTTGTTGGGGTTATTTTGGATGTTTTTGAGGCTCTCATTTTGAAATTAGATTTGATAGAGAGGCATATAATAAGGTAAAGCAGTCTCTAGGGCTGTTCACAAAATATTGTAAACCGGTCAAACCAACCAAACCAAACCGATTTGACCCGATATGGTTGGTTTCTAAAATGATTTGGTCGTTCTCGGTTTAGAACATGACAAAAACTGATTATGCGATTCGAATGCGGTTATCCTTTTTGTAATCCGACGTGAAACCGACCCGAACCGCAAGACATATATATATATATATGTGTGTGTGTGTGTGTGTGTGTGTGTGTGTGTGTGTGTGTGTTATGACCTTCATATTGTTACGTGCTTTTGTCTTTTTTCTTTTCGTTTCACAATTGTTGTTGTCCTTGTTTGTCTTTTCAGCCATGTCTATCCATTTAATTTGATAAAAAGTAAAAAAGTTAAGTGACAAACTTTTTGAGATGAGGAGACAACCTAATTAATGAAGTCTGACATTACAACGACTGGCAGATTGCAATTGTAGGAGCATAGGTAGATGGGCAGATTGACATTTTATGTTATAAAAGAATTATTTTGGTTCGGTTTAATTAAAACCGCTTAAACTGATGTAAAACAAATTGAAAAATGAGGTTAGTTTTCATTGTTTGTTGGTCGGTTATAGTTGGTCTTAAACCCAACCTGATTTTTTTGGTTCGGTTGACAAAACTAAATGCAACCGAACCAAACTGACCCGCGAACAGCCCTAGTAGTTTCACTATCATTTTTCTTTTGATAGGTGACAATGAAACTTTGTTAAGGGAAGGGAATAATAGATTATAGAAGAGCCCTATGGCTAGAAAACACAAAGCTAGAGGTATAACGAATCATGTTTCTCCTTTTAACCATCTAGATCATGCACCATACCATAATATTTCTATGCATGGTGTTAAATGAACCATTTAGGTGATGTAGTATGTTGGGCCTCTTTAACGGTGTATTGGGAAGCCTCAACAGACATGCCTTCTCCAAATCAAGGGACTTATGTGTTTGGGAGACAAATAATGGATCGAATTCTCATTGCCAATGAATGTGTAGAGTTTAGAAGAAGGAAAAAGCAAAAGGGACGACTGGTTTGCAAGTTGGACTTAGAGAAAGCTTATGACATGGTGGATTGGGAATTTCTGTTGGAAATTCTTAAGCATAGGGGTTTCAGAGAGAGATGGTGTAAATGGGTGAAGGGTTGCATTTCTTCATGTCATTTTTCAATTCTGGTAAATGGAGTAGCAAGAGATTTTTTTTTTCTTGCCAAAAGGGGTCTTAGACAAGGAGATCCTCTATCCCCCTTCCTTTTTGCTCTGGTAATTGATGTGTTGAGTGAGTTGATCATAAGGGTAGATGCCAACAATATGGTTAGAGGTTGGAGAGTTGGAAAGGATGAAGTGGTGGTTACACACCTACAATTTGCAGACCTTCCTTTTTGCTCTAGTAACTGATGTGTTGAGTGAGTTGATCATAAGGGTAGATGCCAACAATATGGTTAGAGGCTGGAGAGTTGGAAAGGATGAAGTGGTGGTTACACACCTACAATTTGCAGATGATATTATTTTGTTTTGTGTAGGGAAAACAGGAGAACTTATCAACCTAAAAAGGATAGTCCATAAATTTGAGAGGATCTCCAACCTTAAGATTAATTGGGGCAAGAGTTGTGTGGCAAGAGTAAATTTGGGAAGTGAAGAGGTGATTCGACTAGCTGGACTATTGGGGTGTGAAGTAGGGGATTGGCCATTACAATATTTGGGACTATCATTGGGAGGAAATCCTAATATAGATAGTTTTTGGTATCCAATGATTGAGAGATTTACAAAGAGACTTGCGAATTGGAAGAGAAACTACATTTCTTTGGGAGGTAGGATAACCCTAATAAAGTCAACTTTGGCAAATTTACCAGTGTACTTCCTATCTACCTTTAGGATACCGATGAAAGTGGCAAACCAGCTAGAGAAGATTCTGAGGATTTTCCTTTGGAAACCATGAGACACCAAAAAAGACCACCTAGTGAAGTGGGAGGTGGTTTCTAGAAGTATAGATGAAGGGGCCTAGGAATAGGAAATCTTAGGCTAAGAAACACAACATTATTGGGGAAATGGTTATGGAGATTGCCATTGGAACAAGACAGACTTTGGCATAGAGTGATTATTAGCATTCATGGATTGATAGACGATGTTTGGGATGTAGGAGTCGACCTCAAGGCTTCTCGATGCTCTCCCTAGAAAGCTATTCATGGTATTTTACCTTCATTCCTTATGTCAAATTTGATGCTTGTGTAGGAAATAAAGTGTTGTTTTGGGAAGATGTTTGGGTTGGAGACATTCCCCTTAATGGAAAGTTCCCTTCTATTTATTCATTATCAGAAAATAAAAGAAAAGTATTCTCTTTAGTTTTTACTGATAACTCTTGGGACTTGGGTTTGAGGAGAGGTTTAAGGGAGTCGGAAATGACAATGGTGGATGAATTAATTAACCTTCTAGGGTCAACCTACCTGGATTAATCTTGTTTGGACAGTAGAATTTGGAAACCTTCCCCATCTGGCGTGTTCACTTGTTCCTCCTTCTTTGATGTCCTCATTCAATCATCAAACCTTGCAAGGAGCTTTCCTTCAAAGGAGATTTGGTGTCAGCTTGTACCCCCAAAAATTCGGCCTTTTTGTTGGGAGGTGGTTCTCCAAAATATCAATACTCTAGATATGTTGCAAAAAAAGGCCAAATGTATGTCTATCACCCCATGTTTGTAGCCTTTGCTTGGGCTCTAGTGAGACGATCACACACTTATTAATTTCTTGTCCATTTGTGTGCTTTATTTGGGCCTGGTTCTCTTCTATCTTGGTTGCAGGTGGACACCTCCCCTAGATGTGGCAAGCCTTTTCTATCCAAGCCTTTTCAGGCAACCGAAGAAACGTGGAAGATTAATGTGGAGAGCCACAAGAGCAGCTATTCTTATGGTTAGTTTGGGAAGAAAGGAATAATAAAATCTTTAAAGGAGTGGAGAAATCCAAGGAGGCAATTGTAGAAAGGATAATCATTATGACTATTCAATGGTTGAAAACTTTGGATTTGTTTAAAGACTTCTCAGTTGAAGACATTTACAGGAATTAGGAAGTGGTGGCATCTACAATTTCCAAAAAACCTATTGTGTGTGGTCCCCACCAACACAACAAAGAGTGAAATTGAACTTTGATGGGAGTTCTAGAGGTAACCCGGCCCCTTCAGGTATAGGAGGAGTATTCAGAGATGAAAATGGCAGAATTGTGGCTATGTTTTCAGGACCAATAGGAGTGTAGGAATCATTGAGAGCAGAGGTGATGGCCTTGCTTCAAGGTGTAAGATATGCCAAATAATTGGTGTTACACCAAATTGAGATAGAGGGAGACTCTAAATTGTTGATTGAGTGGCTGCAATCTGGTAAGTTGGGAGCCTGGATTTATAGACAGCCCATAAGGGAAATCCTCAACACAACAAGAGAGATCGGTGCATGCTTCAAATGGACAAGGAGATCAGCACCTGTTTAGGGTTGACAGCTGTACTTAACTCTGGAAAATCATTCTTAAGTTGTATTAATGAAGTTACCATTTCCAATAAAAAAAAACAGACATGCTTTCACTCATTTGCTCAGAATATGTTTCCTCATACCTCTGCTGCCCACTTGATTGTGCATCATATTTTGACTCAAGCGAACTGCTTGGGTTGTGAGTCTATAGCCCCTAGATGGTTTGGGAAAATCCTAGTAATAGATTGATTAGGCTTGGGCATTTTGGTGTGCCGGTGTAAGCTTTCTTCTATCCACTGTTTTCTTTTCTTTGCTCCTTATTTTCCAAAAAAAAAAAGATTTCTGAGGGAGTTAGTGCAGAAATTTTACTTAGAGAGCATAGATTAATTTGTATTCCCATGTGATGGTTATTTATTTATTATGGCCACCAAAATGTTTTTCTTTCTTTAGCAGGGGCTTTTGATCAAGACAGTTGATGCTATTACCCTTAAAGCTAATGTCAGAGGCTTTTACGTTCTGTACTGCACACTACACTTTTTGTAGTGTTCGTCTATAGATTGCTAGGATTGTCACATATATGGTTGATATTAAACAGGAAGATTTTTTGTCAGTTCAGAGATGTAATATTTACGTCCTTGTATCTTTAGGACATCTTTATCTTGTGCAGTAAGTAGCTATTTTAGTTATCTTTAGTATTTTTATTTTTACATGCAGATTTTGTTCTTTGCTGGATTTGGAGAGAAAGAAACACTCTGAAGGATAAGGAATCAGTAATCAATCAGAAAAGGAAAGCTATCAACAATGTTGTACTGTTTACTCTCACTCATGCATTGCCATGTTGCATTTACACTCTGGCACATTGGGTTTACTTAATTTTCTTGTATATTGTTGATTGTCTAGTTCAGTTGTGTCTTATTGGTTGTCATGAGATTTCTCTCAAATGCAGTTTACCATGCGGTTCTGTGCTTGCATGCGATTATCAGTGTGATCTGCATTTCAAATTGTATGTAATTTGCATCATCAATTGCTGATGATAAGTAATGCATCAGGTTCCCACTGTGAATCAGTGAAAACTTATTTTTTTTATTATGGTTTTGCAATGCTTTATGATCATTTTTGTTGCAATGAATCTGTTTGTATGGGTTACCTTGGTGTATATAATGTAAAACTTCCCTTTTAATGGCTTTAATCAATATCAGTACATGCTTTTCAAATAATTCATGTACTGTGTGTATCTTGGGACTATTCTGGAGCTTTAGGGGAGAGTAGCAATGGGCTAGCTTTATCTTGTTGTAAAATGATTTCTTTGTAATTATCTGTATGCTATAACACTATTTCATCAATAAAGGTTAATCAGTTACTAATAAAAAATATTTATATGCTTGATATATTTTATTTATAGGCAATTCCTCCTGTTACCCGGATGGCGCTAGGACGTGCTACCTGGGTCACAGTGTTATGCAGAAAATTGAGGGATTGGTGGCATTGGGTATGCAATAAGACCCTTTTTTTTTCTGTCAGTCATGCTGCTAAATGAGTGAGGCCACCTTCTTTGATATTCTTGAACTTACATTATCTTGGTACCTTATTACAGGTTGCAGAGGGTGAGATACCAATTGTAGCCTCACATGGGTGAGTATATTTTGATGACAAAACATGAAAACATGTTTAACTTTCCTTTTCCCTCTAAGTTAACATGCTTATAATGTAAATTTTGTTAAGGATGGAGGTTGAAGTTTATAAGGCACTAGATCCTGGAACTCGTGTAGTTATTCTGAAAGCACTATGTGACATCCGTGTTGAGGTATACATGTTCGACCCGTACATTCGATTTTCTTAGTTTGTTTGAAGAGGTATCCAAATATGCCAATTCTATTGGATATACTGCATGACTATGTCATGACAATTGTTTATTATTTTTAAATCCTGTAGTCAGGTCTTCTAGTTCAATATAAGTTACTTCTAACTAACTCTCTGGATGTATATGGGTGGAAGTAGTTGACCCTGGCTCTTCATTTTGCAGCAAGAAGATATCCGAAACTATATTGACAGCTCTATAAAACATGGTGTTCAGCTTTCAGGGTTTCGTAAAGAAAGAATTGGGGGTGATTCACACGGAATTTCATATTGGTAAGCTAAATAAGCTCTTCAGATTTGGATAGTTCAAATTGGGATTTGTTCATGTCTACTATTGAGGTAGCTGTTACCTTTTTGATAGTGCACAAAAATAAAAAAAAAGGAAAAAGAAAAAAAGAGAAAGCCTTGCATTCTCTGTTTTTAGTCATTGATCATAAGCTTTATATGATGTATGCTTCTTATTTGTGTAGGTATGAAGATGATCCCATTATTGGTCATCGGTTATATCGTGAAAATAGAAAAATTGAGGTTAAAAAACTGAAAGGAAGGGGGATGCCATCCCTTCCAAATATATTTTGCCAATGGGAAACAGTAGCATCCAATTTAGATGAGTTCCAGGAGGTTGCTGTAAGTTATTATTTTGAATTTTCTTCTTATTTTGCATTGACCCATATGTATATGAACCACATAAATGTGCATACTTGCCATATTCTGCTGGATGTTTATCCCATGAAAATCTAATTACCTTGTACAAAAATCTAATTACCTTGTTATGCTTTTAACCTTTAAGTAAATGGTGCATTAAACGCCTATTGATTGTCCCCATATATATGTTTGTGTAGAAAATTAGAAGATTTCCTCTCAAGGTAAATAGAGTGCTAAATGCTATTATTTGTTAATGTTTCTTCTTTTCCTTAAATATTGGGACTCTACCTTTAAGTAGTAATGCACAATATTAGAATGCTTTATCCTGAAACAAGATATTTGCATCGTGACAAAGGAAAATAATTTTGGGGCAAACATCAATGCTGTGATTTCTCAGATAAGCACACTGTTATTGAATGTCATATTGTATTCCAGATAAGCACACTATGCACACATTTTACATAAGCTCATATGCTATACCATATAAATGTGGCAAGCAAGTCAATCAAAGGTCGTCTGTACAATTGTCCAAAAAGAGATTAAAAAACACCTTGTAACCATTTTGACACAAAAGCTCTTAGAATACTTAAGGCCTTCACTTCGAATAATTTCATCTTCCCAGGCTGCTTTACCGTTGAAAATGCAAGAATTTCTTTCCATTCAATTTGACCGCACCACAGCAGCAGGTATGGCCTTCCATATTGTCTTTGCTTTTATATTTGGCCTCTTTATTCACTACCTCTTCACCATCTGTTTAACCTAGGGGAATGCCCAGTTTAATTTCAGCAAAGAACATAAAAAGATAAAAAAGATACCTGGCTGATGAGACGGATCTGCCTCGGGTGAATCCGATGATGTTGGTTGCATAGTGTCCGGCTCCATGGCTCTTGGAATTTTGCTGGCTCTTTTGGTGATGATGAAAAACCCGGAATGGAGGAGGATCGGGTAAAGGAGTTAGTTGAATCTGAGTCGTCACCTGTTTCTCCTCAACCCTACTCTCCCCCCAAGGAGAAACCGAGAAGAACGGTTGACTCTCAAAGAATGAGACATCAATGGAAACATAGTACTTGCGGGCAA